GGAATTGCCATGTCCAGGCAGCAGCAACGCACATGGATTGTCAGGAGCTTTCTCCCCAACAGGCAGGGAGTGCTCGTTTAAAATAAAGCCTGACAAATGGCATCTTGGGGGTGTCAAGTCCTGGAGCTGTGTCTTCCAAAATGTATGAAAAGGCCCCGGAGGGAGCCTGGCACAGCCTCCCAGATGACAGTAATTAAAGGCTTTTGCACTCAGGCACTGGGAGCTGCTCCTCTTGCAAATTGGCCTTGATTGAAGAGGAAGAGAATGATTAGGCTGAAGGGGAGTGATGGGGAAGGCAGGCAGAGAAAACACAGAGGTAAGTCTCAATTTGTCTTCTGATTTTTTTTCCCCTCTTCCTCTCCCAAACAGTGTCTGTGTGGGTGGAGGGAGCAGTGCTCCAGCTCCACACAGGCTCTGCCTGAGCACTCTGGGGATGTTAAGCTGAAAAAGGAGCAGCTCAGCTCTGRTCCTGCCCACGCAGCCCCAGAACATTACCCAGTGCTTCCTGCAGCTGGCCCTGTTCTGGAAAGCTCTCCCGGCTGGATGGCACCAGGGTCACCCTTCCTTTTGCAGTGCAGTTAACCCCTAACCTGGTTTGTTATATTCCTGGCTCCCAGTATGGGCTATATCTCCATACTCCCTGTAAAGCCCAGGGGTTACAGGTCTTTCCCCTGTTTTAATTATAAAGAGGATAGATTGTTTAATCCAGGTTTTGCCATAATTTGTATTGCAGACCCTTGGTTTTTATTCAGTTATCTGAATATATTTATGTTCAGTCTAAGCCCTGCTCCAGCATGAGCAGTTCCTGAAGGGTAAAACGATGGCATCCCAGAAATGTGCTCCCTTCCTTYCTGAAGCTGCGTCCCCTCTTGGACCTACAATCCCCAAAGATGTCCYAGCTCTGGCTAGGATCCTCCATGGAGCAGTTTGTGGGAAAATTACTGTGGTGTGAGCACAGATGCTCCAAATCCAAGCAGCTGCTTCACCATGCAAGGCCAAGGAACTGGTCCACAATTCAACCAAGAACTTCTGGCCTCCAAGGCAAGGCCATTAACAGTCAAGGAAAGCAATTTAGCTCAGAGTATGGCAGGACAGAACATCTCTTCTGTCCAGCTGGGAAGGGAAGAGAAGCAAACTGAATTGAAGCAATTGAATGCAACTGTAAAAACTCTGGCAGCAAGTTTTTGAGCAGTCAGCCTTGTTCAAGGAAGCTACTGGCCCAGACTGCAAATGGATCTTGTCTGGGTCCAGTCCTGCAACCGCCAGACCCAGTGGCCAGATTCCTGTGTGGGGACATGGGGAAGCAGGCCCGTGGCTCTGCATGTAGTGCTTGGTTCATATTTGGATGAGCTGAGTCTRGTACAATAACTGTGTTATAGGGCAATAACTCTGCAGGGAGCACATTACCATCAGATTCAACACAGCTTTTGTGAAATACAGGCAGGGCAGCAAACCTTTGGCATGAAAACACCCTGTTGTGTTGGGGTGAAACCTGGAATCACAAATGTGATGGGATTGAAGAAGGGACAGACAAAGGCACTTTAYCTGCCTGCTCAGGTGAGGTGTGATAGCGGACAGCCCCTGTGTGCTCTGCCACAGCCATTCCCAGTCCCTGCAGCAGCACTCAGCCACCCTCCATCCTCCCTGGCCTTTGAGGGGGGAAGCTGGAGGGAGAGGGTAAGTGAAGGAGGCAAAGCCCAATAACCCACTGTGGCTCCTGTGCCAGCAGCCCCGGTTCATTCGCACAGCAGTGTCTGTGTACCCACACCCCARTGTCTGTGTACCCACACCCCACACACAGCAGGCTTTGTGCTCTTGAGCTCCACTCCAAAAAATACTCAAAGCCCACAGATTACCCTGATCTTTGCATCCGGCCTCAAATACTCAACTAAACACTTGCAAAATGGCTCATGTGGCCACACTTGGAAATGTCACAGCTGTGAGCAGCTGTGAACTGCCAGAGAAGATGTTGGGGGTGACAATACCCCAGTTCCATGCAGCCAAGTGGGATCACACTGGCAGTGAGGGGGATCAGTGGCACCACATTCGAGGGGGGGACCAGATGCTCCTCTGAGCAGGGTGTGCTGCTCGTGGTGGTCGCACCAGGTTGCTGCAGCATCACACCCCAGACTGGTTTTCCTTCAGAAGGTGAAGAGAGCATAGTTTCTCCTCTAAACCAGAAGCTGGATTCCCTTTCCTCCCCAGAGGACCCAGGTTTGGTCCCTACCCTGCTTTGCATTACCAAGGGAGCAGCAGTGTCTTGCAGCTCCCTCCCATCATCCCCGTTTAAACCATCCTAGATGTTGGTTTCAGTCAGGCTCACCAGTGGGTTCAGCTGATTGGGCCCCAAAAGAGCCCAATAAAGCCTCCAGTTAATATTTTTTTTCATTTCCATATGCTCCCCCACAGCTACCTTCAAGCCTGGCACCGTGCTTGGCTGCAAGAGGTTCCCTGGGGCTCACAGGGTTGGGCTGCAGAGAGTGGAAAGAGGGGTCTTTGGCCCCCCCAGTGCCAAAAGGCTCCTCTGTGGCCCCGCTGCTCCTCTCTGCGGGTTACACACTGGTGTGACTCGGCAGCAGATGACAGAGGTTAGGATAAGGCCTGGGACGGCTGGGATGCTGTTGCCATGGCAATCACCCGGTGTCTGGAATAGCAAGAACAAGAGCAACTCAAAAAGTAATGATCTGTCACATCGATTAAGGGGGAGTTGGAGGGATTTTGTTTGGGGAAAACCTCGTGCTTCAAGTAATATGAATCCATATGCCACATCTCCCTGTTTGCCTTTCCCTGAAGGGCTCTGTCAACAGGAAATAATCTGATTTGTTTTGACCAAGGGTTTCTCCAGGGAGCACTGACACGGTGCCTGCCCATCAGCTGCGCTGCACAGCTCTGCCATCCTGGGATGAAAGGCACCGAGTCAATGCAATATTCATTCACTTCCTCTTCCCTCCTTCATTCATTTCTTTTTCCATTCATCTGCTTCATTCACATTTCCCTGGCACTTTAATGAGCAGTGCTTAGCCCCTGCAGCCTGCAGAGCCTTCCCYCGGTGCTCTGCACTGCAGATGGCTGGCTGCAGGCTCAGTGATGCTGCAGGGCACAGCCCGGGGTGGCTGGAGCAGGGCTGTGTTGTGCCCAGCTGGCATTTGAATCTTTAAACCCCCTCAATACCCCCGGGCTCTGCTGCTCCATCTCTCACATTTTGGTGAATTCTCTTTGTTGTGATTTCCATCTCACCCAGCTCCACGGGAGCCCTCGTGGCACTGACACCCGTGCCCGTGGCAGCTCTCCTGGGGACAGGGGGTGGCTTGGTGGCAGGTGGCATGGCTGGGGAAGCAGGAGGGGGCCGAGCATGGAATGGGCATCGCTGGAGCGCTGGTGCCAAGCATTTGGTGCTGGGCCAGAGCCACGAGCACAAACATCCCCAGGGCTGAGTCACTGCCCACCTGCTCCCGCCCCGCTGCTGCCTTTGTGGCACTCCAAGAGCATGGGGTCACTTCTTTTTTTCCCTGCCTTATGTCCTGCTCTCAGAGTCCAATTCACCAGAAGCAGGTGGGTGACACCCCTGTGTGAGCTCCGGGCTTGAGTAAGGGCAGCAGAGCTKTGGGCCAGCAGATACAGGGCCAGCAGCCAGACCCAGTGTGAGCAGCATGGGCAGTCACAGCCGTGTGCAGGAGCAGGAGGAACCTGCACCAGGCACAGGCAAGCTCCTGGTTTCAGGGATTTTCCTCAGATAAGCATGGCTCAACCCTCCCATTGCCCAGTTTTGAGTGCAAACAGGGTGTAGATGTGGGSAATAAGCACATCTGTACCTCAGTGCCCTTTTTTAGCCACCCCAGAAGAGGTTTGCATTTTTCCCCCCGCTGGTATGCAAGTGTTTCTCCTGAAGAAAAGAAAATGCCTGGATACCGGCTGGGTAGAAATCCAAGAAGGATTAAAAGAAGAAAACCAATTTTCCTATTCATGATCTCAGTAGTGAAGAACARCCCCTTCCTCCCCCAGCCCAAACCCTCTTGCTGTGAGTGCGGGTGAGCTGTACTCCATCGCTCTCCAAACAGCYAAGTGCATTTCTGAAATGAAGGAAGCAAACACAAAACATCCGCTCTCTGGATAATAGAGAAAGCTTTCTCTTTTGTTCCCTGCTTTTTATCAAGTATCTGCTGCCATTATTGTTACTCACTGGGTTATTACCTCCGAGTGGCTACTTCCACCAGCACAAGCTGGTTTATTGTCTGCTCAGAGCAATTATGGATTGGGATAATTCGTGCCATGCTGTTTCATTGTGGAAGGATCCGCTGTGTTCCGTGGCCAAGGTAACTTGAGGTGATCTGCGCTGCTGAGTTACCCATCAAGTTAATTRGGAGTGGGTGGCTGGTGCCTCACTGTGTGCTGGGACAGAAAGAGCAGCAGAGGATGAGCCCAGGCATCTCCTCAGTATTCAAAGGAAAATTTCTTCGGTGGAGCAGACACCAGGTTAGGCTTTTTCCTTGGACTAAGTCATCTCTATTTACTGGTTGACAAAATGTTGGCCAGTGCACCCTCCCTCCAAAGTTTGGGACTCCATGGCTCTGTGTGTGTAGAGCACAAGAGTGTCCCTGCAGGAGGACTGGCAGTCCTGGTCCATTGCTCATCTAGGAACTCGTTCAGTTCCTCRTCCTGTACTGCAAAGACAAGAGGAGAAAAGTGTTCCTTGGCCTGGGCAGGATTCCCCCTCAGGAACTGCCTCACCTGRCTGGTTGAAGAAGGGAAATAAAATAAAAATGCTTCTCTGAAGTGTGCAGTCGAGACCTTGTCACGGGCCTCGTGCACCTGTGGAGATCAGAGCCCCAGTGCTGTCACGCTGCCTCTTTGAACCGGGGKGACTTTCACCCCAGGCAGGAACACCTGGATTCACGGCAGAGGGCTCAGCCTGCAGGTTGCAAAAGTACCTGGTTATTTTCATTCCTTTGATACTTGATCTACTATCCAAATAAGTTATTTCTTTCTCTTTTATTTCCTAGGAATCCCAACAAACTTGCCGTGGGCAAGAGCATTTCTTGGTGAGGCACTGCCAAACGCCCCGCGCTGTCCGTGCACAAAGGGGTCGGGTCATCCCTCGTGCAGCCCCCCAGCTGCAGCAGGGCTTGGCACAGGRATTTTCTGAAGATGGGAGGGTTTGGTCCTACAGGAGCAGCTGCGTGGGTTTTGCAATGCAGATACTCAGGTTAGTAACAATGTGTTTATACATTCACTCTGTAATAAATAAACACAAAAGTGTGACACTTTTAAGCCCTTGCTAAGGCAGTGACAAACACATTTTTCCCACAGTTAGTMACCTGTGGATTAGGAAGCCATGGTTTTTATTTATTTTTAATAGCACACCATGGGGACAGATTAGCATGAAACTATAATGCCATCACATGCTCTCGAAATCCTCTGTGCCAAGACCCCATCCAGGTTCAGCACAAGCAGCAATGAGCTTTTCTAAGGAGGCTTGATGATAAAAAGTGCTTTTTCTTGCTGGCTTAGAAACTCTTAACAAGCAGGCTTGGATTTCTAGAGTTGTATATGTGCTGAGAACATTTCAGAATGACATTGTTCAGTCTGAAAATCTGCCCTGAAATTTCAAAAYAATCTTCCTTGTGTTCTCTCCTGCTGTGAACTCTCTGAGTTCCCAGAGCAAAGGGACACAGAGRTCATGTGTAGAGTGTGTGGCCCTCAGCACCTGGGGTCCCCGAGAACAGCCCTGCCTTGCCTCACAGGGGCAGAGAGCAGGCAGAAGTGTGGCCCTGCTGCCTCCTTTCCTCATCAGCCATGTGAGACAAGCTCCCATTTTCTGCTCAAAAAAWTGCCAGCACCGTGGTTTCACAGCTATTCTGACCGTTCCAGAGTGCACTCAGGTATGACCAGATTTGTCCATGGCTAATGTGGTGCCTCAGTGGATCATGAGATTCCAGGATGACTTGGGAGACACATGGAAGCCAACATGCACCTCCCAGCTGTGGATGGGCTCCCTCTCCTTCAAGGCAGTAATGTCTCAGGTCCAGAGAGGTACCCAGCAGTGGCATCATGGCAGGGAACTTGAGATCCCCCTCAGATGGAAGATTGTGGAGGTCTCCAGAGACTTTTCTCACCTAAGGTTGTCGTCTTACATCTCTTTGCCCTCCTATTTTTGACCCCTGGCCTGCCCACTCAGCCTCTTTGCCTTGCCCCAGCTCCTGGAGCAGACACGGGGCTGGGCACACTGCCTGCAGGCTCCTCCTGAGTGCCTATCTGTATTCATGGAAATAATCCTACCAAGATCTGATGGCATTTGTAAATATTTGCATTTTGTGAGGAAATACCCTGTTTAAACATAGGTTGATATTAATTCCATCTTCTCTGTGTTCCCCCACATCCTTGAGCTCCGTTCACCAGCCCTGGCCCCTGAGACAGCTCTGCTGAAAGCAAATATGTCAGTCTGCACTGCAAAGGGAGTATTTTAAGGCTCTGAAAACAAAGTTTCTTATAGCAAAGCTGCCAAAAGTGTAACCACTGCCATGCTAAAATATCCTCTGCCTCCTACATTTGTAATGTGGGAGTCTTTTATATCCTTTTTACTGTTGCTGAACCATACATTTGTATTGGCAGCARATGTATATAGACTGGGACCTATTTCAGTGTCATGCAAAAGAGCTCTTAGGTTAAAAGATACATTACAGCTTACTGGAAAGCTTGAAATTAACTGTGTGATGATGCCACACCAAGATAAAGAACCAGCAATTTTACTGAATTACGATTTTATCCATATGGGCTGAAGGTTTGAACTGTGTTAACATCTCCAAAGGTCTSCATTTGCCAAATTAACTATTGAGGGTTTGGGCAACTAGTTGGAGGCAGAAAAAAAAAGGCCTTACTTAATTTTCCAGATAGAAAAGCACTACCCCTTCTACACTGTATAGGAGTAACCCAAAAGCAAGGCAGCCAAACACAGMCCCTGCTCCAGCCCAGGCTGGGCAGTGTGAGGGATGCAGGGAGGACACAAACTTCCTTGGCTCAGGCACAGGCTGGAAGGATTCAGTCAGTCCCTATGAAGCTGTGCTGTGATTATTATTAATAGCAAACCCATAAATGTCAGTACTTCAGTGATCAAATTCCTCTGCAGTGCTAAGAGACCTCTTAAAGATTTAAGATGCAGAGCCAAAAGTGTTCTCGGACAGCTCAGGACTTCCTTGAGTATGTGGCAGTGGCAGGCAAAGGGTTAATGATGGAAAASCACATAGGTTTAGGGGAAGGATGAAGGACCTTTTTTCTCAAWATATGGTTTTTTGTTTCACATCTTAGCTCTTGGCACAGCGCCCCCCGCCTCTAATCACACCTTATAACTGCAGTTTAAATCAAAACCCACAAGGCTGGACCAGTTGGATCCCGTTCCTATTAAGCCATTTGAGCTGTGACAGAGCAGACTTGCTGTCACCACGCCAGTCCCCTGCCTGTGCCTCCACATGAGGCTCCCACTGCTCCTGCTCAGTGCAGGGGAACCCACAAAACCCCAGACTGGGATACATCCCCCTGCAYCAGCCCTCTCCTCTCACCCCTCCCCAGGCAGATGTGTGGTGAGCGTTGGACCTATGAAATAGCCAAAGTTTTTCAGGTCCAAAAGAAGAAAAATTTAAAAAATAAGTTCCCAAGCTAAAGCAAAATCCCGGTTTTGTCCCTCCCTGTCATTTGTTGGATCATTGGGCCCCTGAAGAGGCTGGCTGGTGGTTTTGCTGGGAAGGGCACTGCCCAGGCACGAGCAGGTGTGCAGCAGCAAAGCAGGAGAAGGCACCCTCACCATGGGGCAGCGCTTCTCCAACAGCCCATGGCCTGGAGCTCAGAGGATAACACTGCCTGGACCTGCTTTGCTCGGGGCTGCTGTCAGCGAGGAAGCTGATCTCCTGACTCTTTAGGTCTCCTGATTTTATAGAGCTCAAAGGAAAGTCACAGTTTGTTCCCTGAGCTGGTGCAGCCACTGATGCACACAGTGGGATATGGAGGAGATGGTCCCAGACACAATCCAAACCACCTCTGCCCTGCCCATGGCTGCTCCCAGGACCTCTGGAACGCAGGGCAGGAGGAGGGAGGGAAGCAATGCCTTGACACCACTGTGCTCTGGTTTAACTCCTTTTTGCAGCCATTTTGAATGCTGAATAAAGGAGGAAAAACAGTATRAGCCGTAAAAATCCAAGCCAGTCTCCAAAGTCAGATGTGTTTGAAAGTGGAATTGCAGCTGTGACAGGGAAGGAGTGTATTCACTAGCACTTCCTGCTTTCTAAACCATTCTTTTAAAAAGACCCACTGGTTTGGGTGAGAAGTTTGGGTGAAATAGTTGAGGAGGGAATTTAAATTATTAATGGAATTTCTTTTTCTTTCCCTACATATGTYACTGAAGTCCACAAGACGGCCACAGACTCCAAACTATAGATCCCTATTCCCGGAGTCTGAACTCCTGAGGTTGACTTTACAACTTCAATAATAAGGGAATATCATGTGGATTGGTGGCAGAAGCAAGTTAAATGATGAGGGGAGAGGAATACATCTCCAGAGCCACGCTACTGCTCCAGACAAGGCTGCAGCAGGCGACGGCGCCCAGCTCTCCTGGCACAGACGGCTACAATGAATGACCCAAGAGGCCYTGGTAAAAATTAATTGAGTTAATTAATTGAGCATCTGTGGCACGGCTATTTTCTCTGCATGCCCTGGTTCTTAGTCCTCATCTCTGAGGGGAGAAAGTGTCATTGAACCAATTTATTGACAGTGCTGGCTCTCTGAGGCAGAGCTTGTCACCTCGGCTCTGAGATTCATTACCTGAGCCTCAGCTGGAACTGGGCGCTGTTTGACCTTGTGGCAAAGTTTTCAATGTGCAGAGAACAGGGAGAAGGAAATCTTTTGGGGAGTTCTATGCTAGTGTTCACAGAGGGATGGCATTGCCTCCTCTCCAACTGCTGCGAGCCCAGGACGGGACATGGTGCTGAGGGCACCTGCACAGGGAGGGCAGGATGGGTGCATGCTGTGCTCAAGACTCCTCAAAAATAATGTAAATGCAGTTCTTCAATTTCCTTTTGCTATGTGCAGCAGGTCAGGTCCTACTCTGGAAGTCACTGAATTGCGGATCAGCCACGTAGCTGATGGAAACACTGCTGCTGGGCTGTGGAAGGGTTTTGTATTTCAGCCAACACATACAGGAAAGAATAAGGTTTCATTTTCTTAGCCATCACTTTTTGCAGCCTGTGTCAAGCTAACAATGGCTGGGTATTCTTCTGAGGTTGTAAAATAAGCTCATTCGTGCTTCCCTTTCTCTCTGTTTGTTGTAAGAAAAATCTACTGAGCTTCTGTTTGCTTTCGAGGTGGAGCCCATGGTCTAGCACCAGCAGCCAAGCACTGCTCTGGTCAAACATGAGGGCAATACCATTTGTGTTCCCTCAGCCACATGGATAGGGAGAGGGAAATGTCAGTGGGAGCCTTTTGTGGGCTCGTCTTCACCAAGGGGAGCCTCCCTCCCTCTGTGCTGCCTTTCTGGAGCTCTGTAATTTCCACCACGGACCATGCACAGAGCAGTGGCACCTTCCCACTGAGTCAGAGCTGAATCACCACCCCACACTGAGCACAGGGGCTGCTGCAGATGCTGCTCTGGTGGTGGTGGAAGCTCAGTCTGTACCAGTGTGGGGATGGAGGGGGATGTTGTCACTTGGCATGTGGTGATGGCCTGTTGAAGTGTGGCATTGAGGTGCAACAGAGGCTGGGGGGGAGATGATAAAGTGACATCTGCGTCTTTGGAAAGAGAGGAAGCCAAAGATTCACCTGAATCCCTGAGACAGGGCTTGGTGGAGGAGTTTGGATGCTGTGCCAAAACTTCCTGGTGGTGACAGGACACTAGGGACAAGGACGACAGCACTGCAGCTTCACCTGCCAGAAGAGAAATGCTTTAGGAAGTATAGCCAAGCATTTGGAAAAACTCACAGGATTTTCAGGGAAAAGTGTGGTTGAGTGTGTGGCCATCCTGGAGAGCCACAGGGACAGCAGTTTTGTGTCTACAGCTGCAGGAAGAGGTGGGCACAGGCTGACATGAGACCGGGTCTGGTTATAATCCAAATGTCAGAGCTCATTAGCAACCATTGAAATCCTGGTCTCACCAAAAATGAGGTGAATTCATGGGCAGTTGGGCTTTCCAGATTTGAGGAGATGCTTTATCTTGACTCATCTGGGCTTAACCCATGGGCACATCCCAGTTGCTTTGCTGACAGGCAGGTCCTGCCAGAGCTGTTTGGCCTGGAGGTGCAGTCCACAAGCAGGAATGACACCTGGGGAGGAGGAAGACACATGGGAATGGCTGAGGAAGGAACAGGACATCCCTCCTGTCCTTTCAGCAGGTTTGGGGCCTATYTTCTGTGTGTATAACTGGTCCACCAGCAGAACAGCCTCCTATCCTGCTGAGTTCCTCCCAAATTTTCCCATCACAGCATGACCAGTATGAATGCCAGCAGCTGGAAAACTGAAATAGCAGCTACCATTGCTTAGGCCCCACTGATTTGTCCTGTGGTTTTTCCATATCCTTTAATCTCCAGTAAATAATCCCTCACTTCCTTGTGGTCTTTCTAATTCCATGCTCCGTGCTGGTGCTTCCTGTAARCAGCAGAGCTGGTGGCCTGTGCGTGGCCAGGGATGTGTAATTGAGGCTGTCCCCCACTGTGCAAAGGGCATGTGGCAGTGCTGTTTGTTGGGCTGCATGGGGCTGTGTCCACGGGCTAAATRATGGAAATGCCAGATTCTTCTCTCCATCGAGCCAGGAGAAGTCAGGGCTGGCTCTGATGAGGCCATTGGATCACACAGGTGTAAAACCAGCACTTGTGAGAGCAACAGGCCCTGGCACCCACTGAACTGCACCATCTGGCCTCCAGCAATCATGATTAGGCCAGTGCTTGAAAGCAAAACTGGGCTAAATTACAGGCAATGCTTTCCTCCAGCATGTGTTTGTACTAGTGCTTGCTGCCCRGTGCAGGAGCCGTGTCCTGTGCAGGAGCTGTGACCAGACCTTGTTCAGCCCTAAATTGCCATGTCTCTGGTCCAAAATTTTGAGTAGAGTACTAAAATAAAAGAAAAAGATTAAGGGTTTGTGCTAAATGAAGGCCCTTCCTGATGCTGGTTGCCCCACAGGCTGTATCCTTTGCACTCTTGTAGGTAAGAGGCCACCAGATCCTCCTTGGACAGCCAGGGAGGCTCAGAAAGCTTTTTTCAAAATGTATTCAGCTGCTTTATGGGGCAGGAGCTGTAAGCTTTGTGTGTCAGATACCCATCCTCAAGCCTAAGAGCATTTCTTTTTCCCAGTGAATTTGTGTTAAACCAATGTTGGATCTCAGGAGGTCGTGACAAGAGCTGGGCTGCACTTTTTGGGTGTCTCAGCATTTCCTCCAGTCTGAAATCTCTCCTCTCGGGGTTTCTACAGACTGACAGATCCCTCCACAGATACCTGAGCATCCAACAAACTATTTCTGGAGGGACCTCTCTGCTCTCAATAAATCTTGGGCTCTCACCTGTGAATGTCCTGGCCATCCTTCTGCCGGGGACATGTTCCTGGCTGGAAGATGATGGTGTGAGTGTGTTTATGGAGGTGTGGGTGCAGTCAGATGGGTGCAATTCTGCCAGCCCTGCCAACATTTGCAACATCAGTGCTGAGGTATTTACACAACCACAGGAGGGATCTCATAACCCTTTACACAGCTGCTTCCAGAAATCTCCAGGTTTCAATCTGTTGGCTATTTCAACTAAGTCCCRATTTATTTATTTATTTTCTTTTCATAAGCTCCCAGCAGCCAAGCTGTGACAACCTAGCGAATCCTGCTCAGTCTTTCAGCATTAATGTCTCAATTATTTGAGCACTGCCTTCCTCCACACAAGGATTGAATGTGTGTGTGTTGGAACTCCTAAAAGTATTTCCAGAGCTGAAGCGTAAGCAGGGACTCAGCTGGAGTGGCAYTGGAGGTGCTCAAAAAGTGCCATGAGGTAAAGGCCAGCCTCAATTTGTGTCATTTTATGCCACTTAATGTCAGTCACCTTGTTTAGAATGGGGCAATCAGTAGGAAATATATAGCAGAGCTGTGTTTGCCCTTTAATGCTGATGACCCACTCACCGTGGTGTTCACATCCCAGGGAATTGCAGGAGTCCTGCAGCTCTTGTGCTCTGTGCCCATCCTGCTCCTTGTGCTCTGCTGTTGGCTCAGGGAAGTCAGGAGGGCTGATGTGGGGCAGCAGGTGGGAAGTTTGGGTTTCTGGCTGCTCACAGTTCCAGAATGACTGAATGTTGGCACGAGCAATCCCAGAGCATCCCATGGAGATCAGATGGGGAATATAATTTCCTTGCCCTTTGGAGGACTGGGAATTGCTGGCTTTTTCATCACTGACCTTTGCTTATGAAGCAGATGCCACACTGCCACCAGACTRGAACAGCCTYATGCGAAATTAGACTAAAGTAAAGYCCCAAAAGCTGTCTGATGGTTCACCGAGTCCTCCTGAACCATCACAGGTGTGGATGAAACTCCCCCATTCTGTCTGCATTTCTGTGCTCCTRGATCTCCCTGGCCTCGGGCTGACCATGTGCCTTCACCACTCCGTTTGCTCTGACAGTGGGGATGTGAGAAGCCTTCAGAGGAGCAGAAAGGCTTTGCCCAAGCAGCAGTAGGAGCCCTTCAAACCTGCAGCCAATAATCGTTGCCTGGAGCTGGTCCCTTTGGCTCCAGGCAATGCTGAATTTGCTGGTGGAGAAAACCACTGCTTTGGATCAAAGYACTGTTAAAGGAGGCTTCACAAAAGTGAATAGCTCGTGGTCGAGAAGAGCTGCCAGACTCCTGCTTTCTCAGTAACGAATAAAAGTGCTTTTTAACACAATTAATGTGATGTCTTGCTAAAGGCTGAGGGAAATTGGAATTGAGACATTTGTATTTTGACAGACTTTGTGGAAAACTTCTGTTCAGACTGGTAGGAATGAAACCAATAAATTTCTGAAGAAACTTTCTGAATTCAGTCTTCAAGATAATAGATAGGCTGTTCTGACTGCGGATAAATAAACTCTGTTTTTATAAGCGCTTAAAGACCTTTGGGATGACGAAGTGGAACATACTTCAAGTCTCCAAAGATGGGAAGTGGCTTCTGAGTCAAATGSCCTCCCGTGCCAGGGCTCGTATTTTAGACTGAGATCACTCTTTTGTGACTTGTTGACAGGTTTTTTTGTTGTACTTTGAAAAAAAAGAAGGAAAACGTCCCAGGCTGAAAATAGCAGTGAAACATTCCCCAACTGGCCAACCTGTCCTCCAAGAAAACTTCCCATGGAACATAAAGCTCCAGCTGCAGCCCTAAAAACACTGGCTAAGAAATGGYACCTTAAGTAATGATTACAGTGAGAAAAACCTATTTTGGGTTACCACAGCCCCTGCCTGAGCATTGCTCATCTCTTATCTTGTGGTGCAGGTGATTACCTGCAGAAGGAATATTTGGTTCCTGCCAGGAAATGCTTAGAGGGTGGACTCTGAAGGTGGGAAATTTAACTCACTCCCTTTTTTTCTTCCCCCTCTCATGAAGAACAGCCTTTCTTGCAATTCCTGCCCTCCCAAAGATGGGTGGTGAAAAGGTTGGATCAGATCTCATGGCATTCGTGGAAAATCAGGGCAGGTCTCTGCCTTTGTGCAAGGCCAGGGCTTAACTCTGTGAGTGAAACCAAAAGAGATGCAAGCCAAGGCCATGGGTGATGAGCAAGGCTGAAGCCTCAGCACTGAGCTTTGTTTGCTTTGTCTACCTGCTGATGGGGCTGTTGGAGGTGTTGGCCAGCAGGATATGCTTTATTTGAATTGAATATAAAGGCAGTGCTGGAGGGAAAAAGATGTCACATATGCAGGGTGGAGCCCAAACCAGGCTGATGGGCTCCAAAGGAATTCCTGCACTGGCCAAAGGATGGTCCTGACACAAGGGTGGGACGCTGGAGCAATGTGCCTCAGGATCACACACCAGTGCAATAGCCATGGGGCTGAGACTCAGAGAAGAGGCACCAGCACATCGCCAGGGCTGGTTCAAGGAACCCTATTTCAGAGAAATCAGAGAAAAAAATAAGAAAGAACAGGTCAGAGCTTATGATGTACAAAGGTGATGGAAATGGGGGAGTAACGTGATTTAAGAGGCAAAGTCTTATAAGGTGGTGGTAAATGGACACCAAATGAATCCAATCTGTGAAAAAGATCCGATTATTTAAAAAAGAACATTACCCAGGGAAGTAACTCAGCAAAGCTTGTGCTGATCCCCCTCTTCTGAGAATGTTTTGATCACAACTGGTCCCTCCCCACCAAAGCAGATGCTCTGTTTCATGTGGAAATTAATTCAGGTCTGGTTGACCCAGGGATGAGCCCGGATGGCTGCAGCCACCCACCCTGCCTTGGAGCCTGGATTAGGGAAAGGCAGGTTGTCCTCGCCAGGGAGCCGAGCGGGGTCAGTGAAGGGTTTCTGCCTGGTGTGCAGAAGATTTCCTGGGAGCAGCCAGACGCSGCACCATCCCCRTGGGTCGGTACTGGGCTGGTGCCCRGGTGCTGCCTTTAGCCCTCCTGGGCTCTGGCTGCTGGGGGCGGGGAGGGCAGAGCGGGGCTTTTTTCTAGCAGGGAAAAAATCAATCTGCTTTCAGTTSAGCAGCTCACACTCGGGCTGGCTGCAGGAAACGCGTGCTCTGCCGCCAGAGACAYCGCAGTTGCTACAGCAACTGCAGAGCACGGAGACAGCCTCCCTCGGCCACTCTCCACCCCCCACCYTCCCCCCAAAATAAGGCAGAGCAGGGAAAGTGATGGTGGAGAGGMAAAGGAACTGGTAGGGACGACCCTCGGCAGCCACGGCTGCCCCACGCTCTGCTCCCACCCSACACGGCCGGTGCTCGGACACCGCTGTGTTCCCATCAGTCCTGACGAGCTCTCGCTTTCCAGGTCATTAAGATTCAGTTCAGCAGATCTGCTGAAGCCGGGACGGCCTGGCAGAGCACGAACTCATCGCAGCCAGCGCACCCCACGCACCCGCATGCGGCGGGATGGGGATGCGGGATGGGGATGCGGTGCCGGGGATGCTGCGGGGAGCGCCGCTGGAAGGGGGAGCAATGAGGGGATAAAACCGAGCTGCGCTGCCATCTCATTACTATTTAAATCGGGCTCCGCGTGGTTCCCAGCACTGTGCCATCCTGCCTCCATAAAAGCTCATGGTTTTCCCCTGGTGCTGCTCTCTTAAATGTTTAATGACAGGAGGAAGGGCTGTTTTAAGAAACACTTCAGTGCTTCCATCCAAACGGAAGGTTGTTTCAGGTGGCCAGAGCAGGCAAGAAAAACCTTTAGCTGTTAATTTTTTAGGATTCTGCAGCTATTGAAGTGGTGGCAGCATGATGACGCAGACTAGGGGGGAAAAGRGAGATCTTCTACGTATCTGGAGACAGTAAGGACTCCTGAGGTCTGTCCTGCATCCTCTTCCTGACTACACGTCAGTGCATCTTGCTGTCTTGCATTAAACCACTTGAATGAGGCTACAGTTTTGGAACCTTAGAGAAAAMAATTCTTGAAGTTCACTGGCCTCCAGATCTTAGCCAGGCACTCTGCCCTCCCCATCCCTTCTGGATGCATCAGGTTTGCTGTGTGCCAAGGATATTTAAAGGTGTCCACCTGCCAGAGACTTCCTAAGGATTTATTTGGGCTCATGAAGTGTTTAAAAAGCTTGGATAAAACAACTGTGGAAGGAAATGTGTTTTGATGCCAGCCAAATCATAAATCAGGCCATCCTTAACACAAATGAGATGAGGCTAAGAGGGGAGGGTTGTGCTTTTCCTTTGCTGGTAGTCCTGAGTCCCCGTGCATCACTCCTGTGGAGTGGTCCTGTGGACTGGTCCTGTGAACCAGTTCAGTTATTCTGGCTGAGGGATTCCTATATCTGGGTGTAAGGGGGTGGGATGGAAGCGTTTCCACAGCCCATACTATTTTCCTAGCAAAGCCCATTTTGTCACAGGAAAGCAGCTGGTGTCAGGCTAAGATGTGTGCCCCTGACCATTTCCACAACAGGCTGGGCACAAGCACTATSTAAAGCAGTCAGATGTCCCAGCCATGGCCCCTGTGGTGGCCTGCACCACTGATCCTTGGTGGGAACTGTGAATTCTGCACCAAACCTGTTTGTCAATCCCAGTCCCTTCCCCTGCAGCTGTGGTGCAATTCAGTTTGCATTTGAATTGTGTAAAAAGGACRGTGTCAGCTCTCAGCACTGATTTTGTGGAAGGGCAGCTCAATAATTTATGTCTTTGATATCCAAGGACAGTGTTTGTGGAACCTTCTGTTGCTGCCACCCAGGACAAGAAGCAGCTTCCAAGAGAGACAGGGTGGTTGCAATGAACCCAAAAAGGTGCAGGTGGTACACCAACAGGTGTTTGCAAAAAGGATTTCTTAATTAACAAGACCTTCTGAAAAGATCCTGGTACAGAACCACGGCTAAAATCAATCAGAGACACAGCCAAGTGGATTTCTGCACCTCAAAAGGCAGGAAAAGAAATAGCACAAGATCTGCTCGGTGCTGCAGAGGGGAGGATTTCACTGTTGCTGAGCAAAGCCTGCGTGCAGCATTTCTGCATCCTGAGAAAGGTGGGATGACCCAGTGGCTGGAGCAGATAATGCACCCAGAAGAAAGCATCGGGGAAAGGGCAGCCCTACTTTTTGTGGAGAGTCATTAATTCTCTCCCATCAGCTAAGTGCTTTGAAGGTGAGATGTGCTAAATGAGTGTTGAGGATTATGGGTTTGTGTCTCTTGTCTCCAAATCCCTGGGTTAGAGGGGCAGGAGCTAAAGGCCGGGTTGGGAGCCCCATACTCTGCCTCCTGCCCAGACTCAGCAGCACAGAAAGCCCTTTCCTAAAGGTTTAGGAAGGGATTGTGTGCAAGTTCTTTTCAAAACCCCCAAATCAGGCTGCTAGGCAGGCTTTTAACCCTGCTCAGAGGGCAGGATGCACAGAACCTGGCAGGATCAGGCCCTGCTTGTCTCTTTATCCCCCCACCCCCAGCTCTGCTTGAGCAATAACCTACTTTTTTCACTTTGCAGAAAGAACATCTTGGATTATGTTGCTGCAAATGAGAGGTTTCAGTCATGGTATCAGTTGAGCTGCAGGTAAGCAGTGGGTTTAATGTCAGCTTTTTTGGCAGCTTCTTTATTTTCTCTCTGCTTTGCACAAACAAACCATCTTTGTGAGGAAGTTCATTTTCCTTTTTAGCCACAGCATTTATCAGCGTGGCTTCCCAATGATCCTCTCCGTGCAGATAAAGGCGAGCTGGCAGCCACACCGCAGCCCTCACCTCAAGCCTCCTGCCCACTCTGGTTCATTAAGGGACTTTTCCCTCTCTTGCAGAGCAGAAACTGTGCTCACATGGAGGATCCTAAATCCCAGGGTAACACTCAGTTATCCTTAACTCCATCCTAATAAGCCCTGTGCAATTAAGGTGCAAGAGAACAAAATCCCAAGCCCCAGAGGGTGTGGGCTGTAGGACCTTTCTGCCCTCATTAGGCAATCTGGGGCATCATCCACCAAAATCCAGTCCAGGATATAGAGGGGAAGAGAAACTTCAAATCTTTTGGGCTCCCTCTGTCCTTTCCATGTTCATTCTCTTTGGCCTCGTAAGGCTCTCAGACCAAGAATCACTTTATATTAAAAACCACCACAAAGCCCTTCAGATCAAAGGCTGACACGGGCCATGCTGCACACCCTGTGAGTTGCCAGCACAGGACCTTGCCCAGGATTCACACTGCCCCACTTTAACCAGTGAAGGCAGAAGGAGCTGGCTGTGCCAGGGAAGCAGCACCTACTTTCACAGCCTCATGCCTGACTGCTTCCCTCCGGTGCCTGCTGGTTTGGAAGACTTTAACTTGCAGCCTTCTTAACTGCTTCATTTCTGCTAATTCGCACTATCCCACTCCCAGCAACATCACCAAACTCTCCAGCATTGTGAAGGCGGGTGAGCTGAGATGCCCTTGTGCTGAGCTAAACAGCATCAGGGCTCATTTTACTGCTTAGAAATCTGTAAGGAATCAAGCAGGTCGATGAATAATCCAGTTTAAAAATCATAACAGAGGGGCTGGGTAGCTGTATACAACACTGGCCTAAATTCATACATCAAGTGACAAACTGTAATGAAAAATTAAAGGGCCCTGCTTGGGTGCTGTAGGATTTGAATCCTGGGAAGCAGTCGCTTCACATGGAGCAGCTCTGCCYGTGTGCCTCGTGCCTGTGCAGAAATGGTGCAGGGGTTCAGAGAACCTGCATAGGCATCAGTTCTTTTCCCCCAGCTTGTGGCTTTTCAAGCTCAGCAGTGCTAAAACGTGATGTGGGCTCGCAGAGGACACGTGCAGCCCGTGGGGTGAACCGCAGCCTGAACAGCTCTCCCAGCAGCTGGGGCTCTGTGTCCTTCTAGTAATAAATTCCTCCTGGACGGTGTTTCAGGGGATTGCTAGGATTTGAGGAGAGAGGAGGCTGGCTGGAAGCAAGACAGGTTTATCCTTGAAAGCCCCTGTGCTGCAGAGCCTGGGGCTGCCTTTGGCAGCCTGCCCGGAGGAAGATGTTGGTGGAGGCTGAAGGCTGCCTTGTGCTGTACGAACCCACCAATCCCCTCCTCAGCCAGCTAAGTTGGAGATAAATCTCCCTATTAGCAATGCATAAAGGAGGCCAAAATCTGAACAGCTTCTCAGGCAGGAGGTGAAGCAAAAGCTCAAAATAACTTAAAATAAGTCCTTTCTGTGCTCCAGGCTAGAAAGTGGTTGTGTTGGAGCTTTCCCATAGTGTGCCTGGCCTGCCTGCTGGGAGAGAGGGGTGCTGAGCAAGGCAGCAAACTCAGGTAAAAAATAACACCATCCCAACGTCAGCAGCAGAGCTGAGAGGAACCAGAAGTCCTGAGCTGTTTCGAAGTTGTGTTAAATAATAAAGCAGAGAAATGAATAAATTAGCTGAGCATCTATTTAGGTCAGCCCTCTCCGTTTCTCCCAGCCGCCTCCGTGTGCCTCCTCCCCGCAGCGATCAGCTGCTCGGTGCACGCTGTGCCTGCGGATCCGCTCCCTCCTTGGGAACAGCCGGGCTCTCGGGAAGTGCGGGTTGAGCAGGTGTCACGTCGCCTGCACACGTTCACCCCAGCCTTCGGAAGCGGCAGGCGAGCTTCCTTTTCCGTTACTGGGGCAAAAAGTGTTCTGGAAAATCCCATTAAAGCACTAAGCGTGGGCTGAGCACACATGGCTGCTCCCTTCCTGGCGCTATTCCCCGCACGCAGCCCCGCACGGATCCTGCACCACGGGATGCAGCTGCCCAGGAGCTGCATCTTCCTGCTCTGCTGCTGCCAGCCTGGTCATCACCCAGATATTTCCCATTCCCAGCTTCCAACCACGGCAGCACCTTTACCTTTGTGGACCATCATTCCCCACCTTGCACGTGCCCCAGGCTGGGTTATGTGATTGCAGTTGTCATCTGTTGGTTTGGGGACATCCMGCCAGATGGACCAGGCTGATTGACACAGATGGGGAATCAGCTTTTAAAACCCCTAAGCTCCCCTCAAATCATTCAAATGCTTCCAGAAAAATGGAACRACTGTGCAGTCTTTATTTACATGCTTCCCAAGCCTGAAAAGCCCTCTTTGATGTCCAAAATATCTCGTGGGTTTCAGCTATAAGGAAGCTGGATAAACACTCACCAAGATGGAATCTGCATCAAGGGCTGCTCCATTTCAGCCCARCTCCTGCTGGTCCTCCCAAACCCCACAGGTAGCTGGAGAAGGTCTCCAGTGATGAACCCAGCCAGAAGCAGCATCCAGGGTGTAGGCAATAGAAAATGAGATGTTACTAAGTTTGGCCAGGCTTAGCTGGCTCCTYGCAGGTCCCAGCCTGTGAGTCACCAGTACGTGGGCCACCAGCACGGCCTCCCCTCTGGAGGAAGGAGCGGAGGTGGAAAAATAACAAGAGGAAACCAGTTGTTAGTAGTGCCAGTTCTGGGGAGAGTGGGAGGAGGTGGCAGGCCTGGAGAGAAAGGTCAAGGCTGCACTGCAGGCTGCTGCCTGATTTTCCCTCCTGCCTTCATGGCAGGAAGGTGCTTACGGGAACACACTTGTGCAATCCGTGCGAAGGTCTGGGCTGATCTGAGGGTCTGGGCTGATCTGAGGGGGTGATGGAGGTTTTGTTTCTGGTCCCTGCTCATTCGTCTCTTCCGCTTCTCTGATTTCTACTGAGCTGAACTTGAGTTCACTGTTAAAAGCAAATTTTGGGCCCTTGCAAACATTGTAAAAGAAGATGTTCTTTGCAGATGTACTGGGAACAGACAYGTCCATCTTCCCACTGTGGATGAACACCAGTGCAGAGCATTTGTTCCCCAGCTCCTGCCCCATTATGGCACTSATGCCCATCTGCAGCTGAGCCAGAGACTTTCACTTGTGCTCTTTGTGCTGATCCTTGGTGACAGTGGCAGTGGGAGATTCAGGCACAGACCATGAGCCAGTGACCCTGTTCCTTGTTCAGTCAATGCAATAAAAATCTTGATGAGAAAAATAAAAGGTTGCAGGTCTCCAGCCTCTCCTGATACCTCTGCTCTCCTAACTGCTGCTAACTGGAGTGCACCAGGAGARGACACAAGCCTCAGCTACTGTTCCCATGTCCCTGCCACCAGTCCAGGAGCACTTGCAGCCCTGATTGCAGCTCCCCTTCCCATACAGATACCTACAGCTGTGGATCAGCACTTCTGCTCCCCATTGCCTTGCAAGAATTCCTTTTCCCTTGAACCCTCCCATCTGACAATTGCCATCAGTTGCTACTGGTTTTTGTCACCTCCCATCCCAAATGCACAGAGCCAGCTGTCTCCCTGCTGACAGACTGGTACTTTCCATAAATGAAATTATTTCTTTTTCAAGGAAATTATAACCGCTGTCAGGGAAAAAAAAAAAGGCACAGCCAGGTAGGATGCCAGGTCAAGAGGGAAACTGCTGGGTGAAACTTGCCTCACTCCCTGGTGATGCCCCTTCTCCCGGACTGAAACTAATTTTCCCACTTTGAGCCAGAGCGGGATCTCTTATGCTCAGGCTCCCTCTAGTGCCTCCTTGCCCCGTTGTTCCTGGTTTCTCTGGAGGCGCACTGGCCATTTGTCCCCGGGGACTGTCCGTCACCCTCACTACCCTCGGGTTTATAGGACAGCCAAGCCCTATTTGCTCACAGGCTGGGAACAGCCCTAAACCTGCCCTAAASCCACYGGCACCGCCAGGGCAGGGRCCTCTTGGGGACGGACCYGCCAGSCAGCCCAGTCCTGGCCCTGCTGCTGGGGTGAAAGAGGGTGATGAAGGTGTCCATATCCTACAGGGGGCTCTCCCTGAAAGGCACAGCTCTGCACGCTGCAGCTCCACTTGGACGGTGTCTGCACAGTGAGGTGGGAATGGTGGTGATGGGTGATGGGTGAAGTGCCTGAGCTGCCCTGGGAGCAGCCCAGGGTGGAGGTGGGCACCTTCCTGAGCCAGCGGGGTGGCCAAAAGCATCACTGCACTCTCTCCACTGCTTGATACCTCACCACGGGGGAGCAGTTTGTAGGGTGCCCCACAGTCTGCGCCAAGGAAAGGGCTCCTCACCAACTCCTGGAAGTGCTTATCACCGATTTTGTGTTCAGGGCACTGGGGAGCTGCGCTGTCACACTGTGTCCAGCATCCTACGTGAACATGGCCTTTCCTTGTCTTCTTCTTGTGAAAATGGGGAAGATATTTCTTCATGTTTTGGGAAATGACCAGACCCAACCTCTGTTCAAGCCCTTGTAAAACTCAGCCTGGCTCAGCTCTGGCACCAGCACCGTGCTGGACAATGGACAGTCCCTGGCATCACCAAATGGGGCAGCCACAGTAACTCTTTACCCCAAGTCAAAGTCAGCTGACAGGGAGAGAGGGGGCAAGTTAGGGGAGGCTGCTGAAATGTAGTGTCAGCATGAAAATTGTGACAAACCTGACAGAGATCAATCAGCMTAAGTGTGTGTGATGCAAGGACAGTGACTGAGATAGAGCTGTCAAAGGCACTGTGAGATTTTTATGTTATCATTTTTTTCATAACTGTTTTGCAGCTGGAGTAATTACCATCCTATTTAACGAGCACAGCTCCTTTAACAGAGGACACTTGGGCTAACATGCACTAATTAAGTCTGTAATTATTAAAAGTATGATTACAGTTTTGAACTGGCCAATCGTTCTCAGTAACACCATAATTAGAGGCAGAGCAGCTCATCAGGGCACAGGAGAAATTCAAGAGGGCTCGGTCACCCAGTGGTGTACAGGGGCCTTGATCCTGCCTTGGATCATCCTTTTTACTTGGTACTCACCATTGGTCTGCAGTGATCTCTAAACTACCCTGAACATGTTACACTTAGCCCCATAAACTGAATGTTCTTCCCGAGCTTTACCTTAATAATTTGGCTGATGGACCTTGTAATCACCTGGGCTTTAAGCACAGCTTCTCTAATCCTCCCCCTCACCTGTCTGATTGCTCATCTCAGTGCCCCAGCAGCAGCAGAGAAAGACTCCCAGGGAGCTCCAACAGCAGTATTGCAGCAAGACCCTGAAAAAAACTTGGAGAAGGAGCYGTAAAATAAACCCTTCTGTTTCTTCCAGTGGAGGAAGGCTCAGAAATTAAAAAATCAAGAGCCTTCACAATCCAATGGCCAAGCTCAGGGGGCCTGGCAGTCTTTTTGSCTTCTGTAATGCAGGGGAGGCAAACACCTCTGGGATTCTGTGCTATCTTCCACTGAGCTTGGCTCTTTGTTTATCAGCAAAGTCAGGATTTGTCTCTATTGTTGACTGCAATTATCTGGCTACAGTGACTGTAAGACTGTAAGACTGAAGCTCACTACAGTGGCTTTTTTAAAAACAAGTTTAAAAACTCAAGAGATCTGCTTATCAAGGAGGATTTTGAGCAAACATTCATATTCCAGCTGCAAAATGCCAGTAAAAGAAAATTGCTATTTTCATCTATTTTTACACTATTAGTTAACAACAGCTGCCCAGAACAGGGGTGGGACATTAAGCCAAACTCACTTTGCATCTTAGGTCTTGCTCAAAATAAAAAGAAATACTGAAATTAAATTGCATTGGCCTTCTTTTTCCTTATTTTCATTTCACGTTCATCAGCGTTGCACAGGCACCAAGAATAATCTGTTTTCCCCTCTTTTTGTCACAGGAAGAGTTTTATAGGAATCTGAACTACAGGCAGAGAGCAATTGCTCTGCAAGTTGCTCTGCAACTGGACGAAAAAAACGTCCAGTTCACTGTCTGTATTGGTCAGGGGCTCTTGGTCTCTGGGCTATTTCTTTCCCAGCCTGGGTTACCGGGAGCCGGGCGCTGAGGGCAGGCCCCGGGCAGGCCCCGGCCGGAAGTGCTGGGCCCGACTTCCGGCCCGGCCCCCGCTCCCGGCAGCCCCCGCGCTGCTCCGTCTCTTCCGGTCCGGCGGCGGCGAACGCGGCTCTGGTGAGGGCGGCCCCGGCATCGGGCACCATCCAGCACCATCCGGCACCATCCGCGACCATCCGCGGGCCGAGCCCGGTCGCGCCGGGCCGGGCCGGGCTGGGCAGAGGGTCCGGACCGGGCGGGGACTGTCGGAGCAGGGCGGGAGCCGGGGCTCGGGGCCGGGCAGGCCCTGTGCGGGAGCCGGGCACTCCTCGCCAGTCCGGCCCGGCTGAGCTGTGTGTGTTTCTCCCGCAGGTGCGACCATGGCCAAGTCCAAGAACCACACCACGCACAACCAGTGTGAGCGGGGCGGGGATCCCGGGGGGGTTTAACCGGGCTGGGACCGCCGCGGTGATGGCAGCACGGTCTGCCCGGGTGTTTGCAGCGAGATAAGGTGGTGCTGCACAGAAATCGAACGATGGGGTTTAAAGGGTTGTAATAGGAGTCGAGGCTTGTTTGTGCTAAACACAATTTTACTATGTATTCAGAAAAATAAGTAGTGTTATCTTAGAAATTTGGGGGTCAGCCCCTTCTCCGGGTTACCAGCAACAGGACGAGAGGACATAGTCTTAAGCTGTGGCRGGGGAGGTTTAGGTTGGACATTARKRAGAATTCTTTTACAGAAATGGTGCTTAGACATTGAAATGGGCTGCTCAGGGAGGTGATGGAGTCCCTGTCCCTGGAGGTGTTTAATGAAAGACTGGACATGCCMCTTAGTGCCATGGTCTTCTTGACACCGTGGTGTTGGGTTATAGATTGGACTTGATCCCAGAGGCCTTTTCCCACCTGATTGATTCCGTGATGATTTAAGCATGGAGAGGGAGTTATTACAAGAGCAGGCGGTGTCAGAACACAGGGCACTGGCTCCAAACTGACAGTGGGCTTAGGCTGGATATTAGGAAGAAATAATTCCCTGTGGGGTTGTTGAGACACTGGCACAGGGTGCCCAGAGAAGCTGTGGTTGCCCCATCCCTGRAAGTGTCCAAGGCCAGRTTAGACAGTRCTTGGAGCAACCTGCTSTGGTGACACRTGTCCCTGTCCTTGGCAGGGGATTGRAACTGCATGGTCTTTAAGGTTACTTCCCACCCAAACCATTCTGTGATGTTACTGAAGAGCTTTATCCCTCTGATCCTGTGGATCCAAAGATGGCCACATTGATGAAATAATTCTTGTTTGGGGTCTTCTCATCAATGCTTTGAGTTAGCAGAGGTCATGAGGTTAGCAGAGGTTCTGCTTGGTCCTGCACAGTGAGTGACAGTGCCCTCTGACTCTGGCCACAAGTGTTTGAATTTATTCATGACTGAGGCCCTTTATTGTGCTGCTGCTGTGTCATTCGTTAATGAGGTCCCAAGTCTTTGGATTGGAAACCTGTGCAGTGCCAAGATCACAGTGCAGAGAGATGAGCATGGAGGTGTGTTCTTCATTCAGATGTAGTTTGGATAGGAAGAGTCTGAAAATTGTCTGTTCTGCATCATTTTGATAGTCAGGTATACCTAAAAAGATGATGATTAACTGCTTAATAATAGCACAAATTGTCACTTGCTTAATTCTCTTGTTTTCCACATAGCCCGTAAGTGGCACAGAAATGGCATCAAGAAGCCCAAAACCCATAGATATGAATCTCTCAAAGGGGTGAGTATTTCTATTGATGTTCCTAGGCTGTTGAGTCACGAGACTTAACTGTGAAAAAAAATCCAGAATCTGTATTACTTTGACATTTTTTGCAGTCTGTGTTCCAGCTAGTCAGAGCCACTGTGGGGTTCAGTTCTTTTACTTACCTAACATGCAGCTGTGATGTTTCTAACCCATATGGAATCTGCTCTTGTATGTCTATAAAGCTGGATTTTAGTTAGTGGCCTGTTTTGTCCCTGTCCTGCTCTGGTGGCTGTTACTAAGTGCTGCATCCAGTAAAACAAATACTTGCCAGTCAAGTGGTTCTTTCCCTTTCGAGTCCTGCTGGGTCTCCTTCTTTCCTCTCTTCTTCAATATTGTTTTACTATCTGTACTAATTTAGATAATTTCATTTACAAAATGAGAGGAATTGGCATTTTTGGGCAAAACTCATGAAAGTGACAGTATGTTGCTTTTTCTTCTGAGGTTGATTTGTAATACTGAGACCCAAAATGTGTCTTGACAGTGAAATTAGTCTTGTTTGCAGCTTTACTTGYCCTATACTTTCTRTATGTWTATTGCTGAGGTTTTGAATTTTTTKATTATGGCAATTAAGGAAAATAGYTGTTAAAGCATGGTTGCAGATGGCTGAAGTAATTTTGTTGAAAATCAGAAAAAACAGTCTGAACTAGCCACAGCCAGCATTTGGGAATATTACAACATTGTGGAGCTTTATATGTTTTCTTACATGTCTCTTCTACAACATGGCCTGTTATTCCCTTATTTTTATAGGTTGATCCCAAGTTTCTGAGGAACATGAGATTTGCAAAGAAACACAACAAAAAGGGGCTGAAGAAGATGCAGGCCAACAATGCCAAGCAGGCAGCTCAGCAGGCTGCTCAGCAGAAAAAGGACTGATGTGATTTAATAAAAAGAACCAATTTTCTTACTGGCATGTGTGTTACAGCATTTTTTAAAAATAAAATTGTATGTAACAAAGTCTTCAACTCCTGAATTTGAGGAGTGCCCTCCAGAAGCCTTGTTAGAGTTGTATTTTAGCTGCCAGCTGTGCATCAAGCCTGTGAGTAGTGATCCAGGGGATTCCAACTGGCTGGAAGTTCCCTGGATCCTTTTAGCCCTTCTGAAAACTGGGATGGTGTTTTTTTTATCACGTACC